TGAAGGATTTAGAGCTTTCACTTAAGCATAAGACAACTAGAGATCACACATTCATGCTTATAAAAATATTTACTATCTATCCTTTTTATACCTAGATTCTTTTTTTTTTTTTAATTTTTTTTTTAATAGAGGCATGTTTTTATTTATTTATTTGTTTGTTTGTTTGTTTGTTTTGTTTATACATGCACTGGGTACAGTCAGAAGAGAGGGAGGACGAGGGAATTCACCAGAGCCAGAGCGGGGAGCAGAGCAGGCAGAAGGACCGAAGTACACTGCTGAGGGGAGCAGCGGGCGGCAGGAGAGGTCTGCGTGCCATGTGGGACCCTCCTCCAGTGGCCGGGAGCAGCTGGGGATCGAACCGGCACTGCAGAGGCCGCGGGCAGCTTCGCAACCCAGCGTTCAATCTCTGCGCCCCGGGGAGGCCCTATACCTAGATTCTTATGTAATAGTTATAGGCAATAATAGGGAGCCTAATCCAACCTAGATGATTGGAGTTAGAAAGACTGGATCTGCAGCAGTCATTAGGATAAATAGGCTAGATTTAGAAGGAAGATGGGAAGAGACTATTTGATATCCCTGAATGAAATATAAAGAAATGAAAGCTCTTAGTGAGATAAACAGCACTTTTATAAGCTTTGCTTGACCTGAGAAGATTAAACTGGGTTTGAAGCTTTTTTGGTTTTATTGCTTGTGGATGAAATGGCGGATGACATGTAGGTGTGAAGGAAGAAGTTCAAGAGGTAGTTACACAGATGGCCAGCTCAGAGATGAAACTAGAAGCCAACAATAAGCAAAATATGCAAATTCTTAGAACAGCTTTAATACATGTTGTTTCCCCATACTTCTGAAGACCGGTTTTTAAGCATATCTGTTTATGGATATAGCATATGATTAAGTGAGATTTTTTTATGGTTAAAATTAAATGAGCAGTAAAAAATATACTGATGAACTCCAAGGATTAAAGCTCTCTAATTTTATTCACTCTCTAATCACAAGGAGGGAGATGGGGCCATGTAGATATAAACTTCTCACTTAACAGATATATTGCAAAAAGATTAAAGGCAGGTTGACTTGCAGAAATGCATTTAAATTGTTCAGTGAGCATATGGAATGTTATTTCCATTGGTTAATGGAATGTGACAAGAAAAAGTTCTTTTCATTTCACTGCTATTAAAAGCAAATAAAACCAATCTTTCTGCATTAAAATTCTGAAGTTGAGCTTGGCAGAAACATTTTAGAGAGGGAGGAGAAAATATCCCCCACCCCGCAAATCTCCACCTGAATTTCAAAGATATCAGACAACAAAGAAGTGTCAGTTCACAATAAAGTCTGGGAATAAGGTGTAGTTAATCGCTCCGAACTCTTGAACTCCAAAACTCAATATATTTCCTAGCTCAGTAAGGATGGTGCTGAAAAAATTTATGATATCGGATACAGAGAATACCTACACCTTGAGAAGAACTCACCCCTAAGAAAACTAAGGGGAAGGGCAGCGTTTTCCCTTTTTCATGTTAAAATAATATCAATTCCTTTTCATGCAACCCAGAAACTGCAGACTGGAAAGGCGCACATTGAGGGCCTGGCTTGTGGTGCAGGGATTAAAGTCTCACTACAGCTAACAAGCTGTAGACAGTCACTGTGGCATGAGTTTGATCCCTGACCAGGGAGCTAACCCACATGGTGCAGACCTCTCCTATGGTGTCCTCTGCTCCCCTCAGCTGTGCATCTCAGAAGATCCACCTGTTCTGCTCCCAACTCTGTCTCTGGTCAATCCTCTCACCCCCTGCACCTCTGGCCTACACCCCACTTCCTCTATGCATAAATAAAAAATAATATTAAAAAAACATTGCACACTGAAATTTTGTTGTATCTCATGATTCTATGGGTCAGAAATCTAGGCAAGTGTTAGCTGTGAAATTCTTTTGCTCTCTCTGGTGTTGGCTCGGGTTCTGGAGGTATTTAATTAATGGGCTCATTCAGAGGTCCAAAATGGATTCATTAACATGTCTGGCCATTACAGATTTTGTTGGAAGGTCCCTCCCCTTCTCTGTGCAGTTTGAGAGTCTCCCACCATGGTCCCTTCCACTCAGTCTCTTACATGGAGACTTAAAATGCAAAGGTAAGTATTCCAAGACACAGGGTGTCAGGGCATGAGTCTCTTAAGACTTGGACCTGTTGTGCCTAAGATCAGCAGACTCGGTGAGCATAGCCTCCAAGAACCCAAAGACAGCCAATGCAAACACAAATGGGAGTTTATTACAGACTTGAGTCCAGGCTCATGGGACCTCCCAATGCAGCAGCAGGTATCGAGAGCCCTGGACAAAGGAAGCAAGGGATTTTTATAGGGTTAAATCATGCTGGCAGTTACTCATTGGCTACAAGGATGCATTCTTCAACTTTGCCTGGCTATAATTCTAAGCTGACTGGCCGGGCTGAGATGCAGCTCCAACCTGCAGCTCCAATTACTGGCATGTTCACCCTCATTGGTGACCAGAGGCGAGGGTGGAGTGAGGGTTGAAACTATCTCTGGAATGCAGTCGTCATTCCCGGGACAGCAAAACCTAAAATTCTAAAATGGCAGTTACACACAAAATGACAAAGCAATGGCTAAGAATCCTTATGCCTTGTTCCACAACACCAGGATGATACTGAGGCGATGGGAGAAGCGCCCAGTCCTCCCTTCCAGGGTTTCTAGTGGCTCACAAGCCTATTGAAGCTGGGCAAGTGCATGTTCCCTAGAAAGAATTCTGTCTGAGGGATTGATAGAAAACTGAAGACTGGAACACATAGGGGTGCTTTAAGCTAATTTCAGTGCTCCTGAGATGCATCTGCCCCTCCTCCACCCAGACTTCTTTGTCTTCCTAACTTACTGTAACCTAAAGAACATGACTAGCTTCTGTGTTCCCAAGATACACATAGCCCTCTCCCATCTGGGCTTGGTAAGATGCTGGTCAGCTTCACTTCTATTCAGGCTGAAAGTTCCCTTAGTGTCATTCTGCCATCTGAGTCCTCAGCGCCAAGGCTATTCTGCTCATATTTGAACCTTAGGGGAAACACCTGAAGCTGCCCACAAATCAATGAAATAATTGAGGGTTAAGGTAAACTGTAAGGTATATTAAAGAAAGGCTGAAGTGAAGTTAATGTGTTTAAGTATATATCATAGTCTATGTATATAGAAATATGCCTTTGGCATGATTCAAAAGTCCAAAAATGTGAATTTTAAAAGAAAAAAAGTAATCTTCTTTACTTCAAATGTTCAGGAATATTGAAATGTATAAGTCAAACTAAATTAAGCAGAATTTAGTTTTTCATATTAATCAGATTGAAATAGACCAATATTTACAAGTAAAACTATTTCCCAAAATTATATGCAGTATTGTAAAACCAATGTTAACTTACTAAAAAGGGGTTACAGAAAAAAAGTAAAAAAAAAAACTCTATTGCATTTATGTTTATAACCAAAAATTACTCACTTTGCAAAAAAAAAATCTTTATTACTTTAATAAAGACCTATAAAGTGCTATGCAACATGCAAAAGCAATCACCAATCATGGCTTTTCCTAGTGAATTAGATGGCTAATTCCCAATGAAGTGGATGCAGTTACAAATGACTGTTCTCTCAGATAGGAATTAATAAGTTTGTCTTCCCCCATCTCTTACAATTTCCCCCTTATGTGACAGGTTTGCCTTCGTTATGCCCAGTCTCTCAGATATGTATTAACAAGTTTGTCTTTCCCATATTTCTTGCACTTTCCCCCTTGTATGACAGGCTTGTCTTCTTGTCTTCCAAGGAAAGGGAGTTAAACAGCAGTTGCTAAAAAAACCAAGTTGGCGGGCCTCCCCGGTGGCGCAGCGGTTGAGCGCTGGGTTGGGAAGCTGCCGGCAGTCTCTGCAGCGCCGGTTCAATCCCCGGCTGCTCCCCGGCCTCGGGAGGAGGGTCCCACATGGCGCGCAGACCTCTCCTGCCGCCCGCTGCTCCCCTCAGCAGTGTACTTCGGTCCTTCTGCCTGCTCTGCTCTCCCCGCTCTGGCTCTGGTGAATTCTCTCTCCCTCCCGCGCTTCTAACTGTACCCAGTGCTTGTATGTATCAATCAATCAATCAATCAATAAATCTTAAAAAAAAAAAAACCAAGTTGGCACCCACCTATCTCCCTGCGGACCCCTGCCCATCTCCCCTTTTTTCCCTTTGTATAAATACCCCTGCACTCTGCCAAAGAGCAGGACGGTGGTCTTTTGAACATAAGTCTGCTGCCCTCCTCATTTGTCAACAAATTAAGCCACTTTCCTTTTCTTTAAGCTGTTTTATTTTATTGGCTGAGGGACTCTGAGGCCGGCTTTTGGTATCAAAGTTGCATGATTCTTTCAATTAGTGTTAGTAGATATTTTCATCATTCTAGTTTATGATGAATTACAAAGTTACAAAAATGTCCAAATAAACCATACAGTCTATTTATCTTCTAAAAATAATCAGAAATAGAAACTTGATTAGATGATACATATTATTTTTTTTTTAATAGAGGCATGTTTTATTTATTTATTTATTTGTTTGTTTGTTTCGTTTATACATGCACTGGGTACAGTCAGAAGCACGGGAGGGCGAGAGAATTCACCAGAGCCAGAGCGGGGAGCAGAGCAGGCAGAAGGACCGAAGTACACTGCTGAGGGGAGCAGCGGGCGGCAGGAGAGGTCTGCGCGCCATGCGGGACCCTTCTCCGGTGGCCGGGGAGCAGCCGGGGATCGAACCGGTGCCACAGAGGCCGTGGGCAGCTTCGCAACCCAGCACTCAACCGCTGCGCCACCGGGGAGGCCCTAGATGATACATATTAAATGTCACATATTAACAAAATATTTTTGTAGATAATGAGCACATTTAGTGAGTTCATTATCAAGATTTGAATGTCAAATATACTCTCTCAAATCCAGTATATAACAAACATATGGTATACAAAATATAGCAGTATTTTGTATATAATGAGTAAATATTTCTATTTATTGTTCATTATCAAGAAATGAGTATGTCAAATATACCCAGCTGACAAAAAAGATGGATAATAAACACTAACATAACCAATTTATTTGCATAAAATACAAATAATAAGTGAGGGTAAACAGTCAGGTATTCCTACTCATATACAATGAAAAGGGAATAATATGAAAAGGGAATTCCCTTTTCATATGAAAAGGGAATAATAAAAAAACTAGTGCAGTGATAATCAGCTTTCCTTTGGTGTCACAATCATGTATCTGCATTTTGTAAAATAAACCTGTAGGACAGTAAGGCTCAGAAACAACATATTTAGCCGCCAAAAAATGTTATTAACAAAAGAAACTAAGGCCTACTTATTCCATCATCATGAGGAACAAGCAATTCTTAAACATTTGCACTGGTTTCTTTCAGAAAATTTACTACTCCATTCTAATCACTACTGAGGGTTTCACACAAAAATCTGGGAGAGCATGGTGACTTACACAAAGTACTCAGGAAGTGACTTTTCACGGATAGCTTACTGCAGTTTCATCAACAGCACTAAACTAGAAGAACTCACGGTCTATTTTCTGTTGACCATGGGTCAAAAGTATCATTAATATTCAAATCTACTATTTTTATGTTTTTGTCACTCAAGATAAAAATTGAAAAGCAAATCAGATATCATATCATGATAAAGTTCAAAAAAGACAAGAAAGGCATGAAATTGGTCATTTAGTAGAATCCATTTTTTAAAGAGAAATAAGGTTAGTGTAGATAAATTTTATTTGAATGTTATACTAATATTTTTTCCTCTTACACTTCTGGAACGTCTGGTTATATTTGTTTCCTGTATTGTTTTCTGTGCTACTATCACTATCACTATTTTGGTTTTGCCTCTTTTTTGTTGGTCTGATAAAGGTCAGAGTCACTGGGTTGTTGGTAAGTCCATTCATAAGAGCTGGGTCCAGCCTCTTGATCTTGAACAGGATTTAGTGAAGAGGCCACAGATGTGCTATTAGGAAGTGGTGCTGTCATCTCATAGTAAGGCAGCTGCAGCACAGGATTAAATGTATGCCACTACAGGGAAAGAAAGACATTCATCTACCAAAAGAAACCCAAAACATTTAAAAAAGTCAACAGTTTACATATATATAAAACAACTCTGATCAGGGGCCTCCCTGTTGGCACAAGGGGTTAAGCACCACACTATGAAGCAGTCCACAGCCTCTGCAGCACAAGTTCGATGCCCGCCTGCCAGGGAGCTACCCACATGGAACCGCAGACTTTTCCTGTCTTGCCTGCTGCTCTCCTCAGCAGTGTCTTTTAGTCAGTCTGCCTATTCTGTTCCCCACTCTGTCTCTGGTGAATCCTCTCACACACACACACACCCCCACCGCATCTCTGGCCTGTACCCCAGCTCTTGTATGCATAAATAAATAAATCTTAAAAAAAAATAACTCTGATCAAAGCAAACCATGTGGTAGTATAAGAAGGACAGTGACTTCATAGTGGGGACGTGGTAGATTTTTTAAATGGTTAACATAAAGATTCAAGGTCATGTATAGTTTACTACAATACAGATTAGTGTTGTCTTATAGAAATTAAATGCCAGTGGCATATACAGTTTTAAATCTTCTAGTAGCTAGAAAAATAAATAAGGTATTTTATTTATAAATAAGGTATTTTATTTATACCAAAATATTTCAGTCATTTTAACATGTAACAAATGAGACATTCTGCTTTTTTAAAAACATTATTAACTTTCAAAATCTGGTATGCATTTTATACTTACAGTAAATCTCAATTTGGAAGCTGAATTTCCATTGAAAGTAGCTAATTTGCATTTAGATGACATAAAATTTACAGTTGAAAATGTAGATTCACATACCTAAATTTTTTCAAGTATACTTAAAAGATTTTTCAATAACTGAAACAAGTATCTGTTTTTCAATTAAAATTAAAAATTAAAAACACTGCTCCTAAGTCTCACATGTGGCTAATGGTCACCATATGGTACAAAGCATTTGTTAATTAAGATAGACACTTCCCTGTTTTTATTTTTTTTAAAAAAAGATTTATTTTTATTTATATAGAACTGGGGTACAGCCCAGAGGCACGGGAGGGTGAGAGAATTCACCAGAGACAAAGTGGGGAGAACAGGCAGACGGACTGTAAACACTGCAGAGGGGAGCAGCGGGTGAGTCAGGAGAGGTCTACTGTGCCATGTGGGTATCTCCCAGGCTGGCAGGGATTCAAACCCCTGCTGCAGAGGCTGCAAACAGCTTCACAGTGCAGCCCTCAATCCACTGCACCACCGGGGAGAGGCCCTTCCCTGTTTTTAAATTAGCTTTTAACGCAAACTTATAACTATTCAAAGTAGATTAAAGATTTATAGTGATAACATGAGCTTGTGAGGGGTGTGTATGTATGTATGTGTGTGTGTTTCTCCTTTCTCTTAATATTAAAAAATGCTAGGAAGATACTGACAATTTGACATCAGAACTCACTGTTTACTCAAATCTCATGACAACTAAGAAAAGATTTTTTCCAAAAGTTAAATTATCAATTTCCTTAGGTAGGTCTATAAAATGATAATATTTATTTGAAAAATCTGAAGGTTATATGTATATCAGATGTTTGCAAAAATGATGCCCTGTGATTAGAATACCTGAGTTATAGTCCCACCTCTATCACTAACAAGCTGTGTATCTATGATTAAAATCCCTGACCCCAACTTTATTATGTAGAAGATGAGGAGTTGGAGGGAAGTTTTCTTAAGCTCCCCTTTAATGAAGACTATAATCATGATTTCCAGATCATTCAATTCTAAAAGTTATCTTTCAAAAGAGCCATATTTATTTATTTACAGATTTATTTATTTATGCATATAAGAAACTAGGGTGTAGGCCAGAGGTGGTGGGGGTGAGGGGAGTCACCAGAGACAGAGTGGGGAACAGAACAGGCAGACTGACTGAAGTACACTGCTGAGGGGAGCAGCAGGCGAGGCAGGAGAGGTCTGCTGCATCATGTGAGTTTCTCCCTGGCGGGGATAGAACTCGTGTGGCAGAGGCTGTGGACAGCCTCATAGGCTGCATCCTAATTCCTTGCACCACCAGGGAGGGCCTCAAAATAGCCATTTAAATGAGAAGCCTCTACTTCACTTTTACTCGGGCCACAGCATCCCCTCTCTCCCATCCGTCCACTTCTATGGACCACTGGCTGTCGGCTGAGGTCAGTCTGTGATTTCTGAGAGGACTAGGTTAGGATGGATGTACCCTGGGGGACTGTGCTCAGGTCAGTTTCTGCCTTTATCCAGGCTTTTATTTGAGCACCAAGTCATTTTTATATTCTTCATAGTTTGTACCATGTTATAAGTTGAACCAAAGGCATATCAAACTTACCGTCTTCTGAAAGAAGTAAACTTGAGGTAAAGCCGCATTGTTAAGTGGAAAGAACTGCATGGGAACGGGATACCTGCCCACAACTTCTTCATTTCTTAGGGTAGGTAAAAGAGGAAGTAATATAAAGTTAAAATTCATATGCACAAATGTCCTTAAACAATATAGCTTTATATTATATACATACATATATTTAAAGATTTATTTATTCATACATACAAGAACTGGGGTACAGGCCAGAGGTATGGAGGGTGAGGGGACTCACCAGAGACAGAGCAGGGAACAGAACAGGCAGACTGAAGAAATACACTGCTGAGGGGAGCAGTGGGTGAGTCAGGAGAGGTCTGCTGCGCCATGTGGGTTGCTACCTAGGTGGAGATGGAACTCGTGCTGCAGTGGCTGCTGATAGCCTCATAGGTTGTGTCTTAACCCCTTGCACCACCAGGGAGGCCCTATTTTTTTTTTAAAGAGGCATGTATTTTTTATTAATTTATTTATTTGTTTGTTTGTTTGTTTATTTATACATGTGCTGGGTACAGTCAGAAGCGCGGGAGAGTGAGAGAATTCACCAGAGTCAGAGCGGGGAGCAGAGCAGGCAGAAGGACCAAAGTACACTGCTGAGGGGAGCAGTGGGCGGCAGGAGAGGTCTGCGCGCCATATGGGACCCTCTTCCAGTGGCCAGAGAGCAGCCGGGGATTGAACCAGCGCCACAGAGGCTGTGGGCAGCTTCGCAAACCAGTGCTCAACCACTGCACCACCAGGGAGGCCCCCCTACAGCTTTTTATTTTATTTATTTATTTATTTATTTTTTTTATAGAGGCATGTTTTTATTTATTTATTTGTTTGGTTGGTTGGTTGTTTTTTTTTTGTTTGTTTATACATGCACTGGGTACAGTCAGAAGCGCGGGAGGGTGAGAGAATTCACCAGAGCCAGAGCGGGGAGCAGAGCAGGCAGAAGGACCGAAGTACACTGCTGAGGGGAGCAGCGGGCCACAGGAGAGGTCTGTGGGCCATGTGGGACCCTCCTCTGGTGGCCGGGGAGCAGCCGGGGATCGAACCGGTGCTGCAGAGGCTGCGGGCAGCTTCGCAACCCAGCGCTCAACCGCTGCGCCACCGGGGAGGCCCCCCTACAGCTTTTTATATTTAAAATAAGATAAACTTCTCCAAGAGAGAAGTTAATATTAGTTTTTTTTTTTTTTATTTTTAATATTAGTTTATTTTTTAAAGATTTATTTTTTTACGCATATAAAAGCTGGGGTACAGGCCAGAGCTGGGGTACAGGTGTGGGGGGTAAGAGGATTCACCAAAGACAGAGTGGGGAGCAGAACAGGCAGATCTACTGAAATACACTGCTGAGGGGAGCAGAGAGCAATACAGGAGAGGTCTGCTGCACCATGTGGGTCAGCTCACTGGCTGGGGACAAACTCTTGCTGCAGTAGCTGTGGATTGCTTCATAGTGCTGACACTTAACCCCTTTCACCACCAGGGAGGTCCCAATATTTGTTTACTTTAAACATACATAATTAATTATAGAGATAATGTTATTTAATCACATATTGAAATCTCAATATTTAGAGTCTCATTTGGCTTTGTGATAGGAAAGTATGAAACAATATTATATTGGACAAAGAACAGTTAGATATGAAGAGAGCAAAGCAAGTTATTAATAATCACCCAGGGTACATTCAATCTTGTACAGATACAAAAAGTGAAAGTTAGAAAAATTTCCTCAATTCATTTTCAAAGATCTCTGTGATGCTTATGAAAATTATGTTCTTTCTAAATGGACTGCTGATGTTAAATTGAACACACATGCAAGAGAAGCCCATGGAAGAGTGAATTTCCTTAAGGAAGACAGTAGACAGGTATCTGTTGTATTAGAGTAAATTGGATAAGCAAGAAATCAGAAATCACTGAATTCTTTTTTTTTCTTTTTTTTTTTAAAGATTTATTTTTATTTATACAAGAGCTGGGGTACAGGCAGGAGTCGCAGGAGGGAGAGAGGATTCACCAGAGACAGAGTGGGGGAAAAGAACAGGCAGACTGATGAAATACATTGCTGAGGGTAGCAGCGGGCAAGACAGGGGAGGTCAGCCTCGCCATGTGGGATTCTCCCTGGCCAGCCTGGAATTGATCCGGGGCTGCAGAGGCTGCGGACAGCTTCACAGCATAGCGCTCAACCCGCTGAGCCACCGGGGAGGCCCAGAAATCACTGAATTCTTGATCAACTGGGTTAATAAGAGAATGGGAAGTAGGATATGAAGGATAAGAGTTTTCAGTGATAAGACAGGAAAAATATAACAGCCTGATTATGAGACAGTATTCAGGGAGACCAGGACATGTATGTGGAATAAATGATGGAGAACAAAATGTACAATGAGGTTACAATGTGGGGAAGATATGACTTCAGTAGCAGAAGTGGTGAGATTTGCAATATTATGAAAACAGATGTAGATTTTCTAAATCTCTGTCTTATGTGAATTTCAGAGCATGTACAGTTATCTTTGAAGAGGAATCAGATATAAATGGGGAGTGGTTATAAACTGAATTATGTCTGTACCCAATACCTCAAAATATGACCGTATTTGGAAAAAGAGCTGTTGCAGATGTAATTAGTTAAGAGGAGGTCGCATTCAGGTAGGAATGGCTCCTCATTTGGTAAAATTGGTGTTCTTAAAAGAGGACATTTGGAGACAGACACACAGGGAGAAGACCACATGAAGATGAAAGCAGAGATCTGGGTGAATTTCTACAAGCCAAGGGATATCAAAGATCACCCACAGACCATGAGGAGGTAGGGGACAGGCATGGGATATATTCTTCCTCATCACCCATTGAAGGAAGTAACCTAACCTGCTGACACTTGATCTTGGACTTCTGACTTCTGGAACTGTGAGACAATAGTGTGTGGTACTTTGTTATAGCAACCCTATTAAAAAATACCAGAATTATTCATTAATAACAACAAGTAAAACTGGCAGTAAGGAGCACAAAAATCCATTTCCAAGAAGCACCAGTGAAAGGCTAGGCTATTAATAGGCACTGTTTTTCTCTGTACACATCTTGTAGGACACGGATTATCTATTCCTCCTTTATAAAGTAACAAATGCCAGGGCCTCCCCTGGTGGTGCAGCAGTTGAGCGCTGGGCGGAGAAGCTGCCCACAGCCTCTGCAGCAGCAGTTTGATCCCCAGCCACTGGCGAGGGTGCCACATGGCACAACAGACCTCTCCTGCAGTGCCCGCTGCTCCCCTCAGCAGTGTATTTTGTCAGTCTGCCTGTTCTGTTCCCTGCTCTGTCTCTAGTGAATTCTCTCACCCTCCCACGCTTCTGACTGTACCCAGTGCTTGCATAAATAAATAAATAAATCCTTAAAAAAAAAAATAAAGTAACAAATGCCAGAAGAATAAATTATTATCAATGAAGTGTAGCATTATGGAATACACACAATTCTTATTTTCAACACTAGCCTGTGAGATGATTTAAAAAACATACCCAGAGAATACAAGAGTTATACTCACATCCGCTAGTGTTTTTCTAGTGTTTCCTCTCTATCCCAAATCCTAGCAGTATATTCTCTGCACCTAACTTCTGAGGAAAAAGGGTTTACTTTTCCACTCAAAGATGAGGGGAAGCGCATAACATGCTGCTCAATTTCTCATTGTACCAAGGTGGTAAATCACTCCCTCTTTTTGCTAACATTCCCTGAAAGTATTCACTGAATTCTGGTTATGGAGCCACTATTTCAAATACCTTGAATTTATTATAAAATGAATTTCTCATTATAAATTTTTTAGATACTATCATCACTTTTGAGATGGGTTGCAGAGTAGTGAAATAACTTGTCCAAAGTCATACTGTTAGTAAAGTAGCAAAAGTAGGATTCAAATTCAGGTCATCTTATTTCAGCACCTCCTTTCTTACCTTCTCCTTTCACTATAAAAATGCTGGGGAGAATGAAGATGTGGAGCACACTGAGTTTTATTTGGAGTATGATACTTTTCGTAAAGAGAAACCTGGGTAATTACCAGTCGCAAGAGCCACTCTAGGCCTCAGAGGGCTGATATAACTAACAGGGAGAGAAGGCCCAGCTTTTCAGTTTATTTGAGTATATTCAGTTCTGCTATAGAAGACAAGATAACAAACAGAATGGCTGAAACTCGTAAGACACGCTCAGAGTAGACTTTAGGCAAGCTAATAATGTATGAGATAACAATGAAATTGTGTTAGGGGTAGACTGGGAGACAAAGACATATACAGAAATATATGAAAGAAAGTAAATGAGTCATGGGCCTCCCTGGTGGCACAAGGGGTTAAGTCTCAGCACTATGAAGCTAGCAGCAGCCATTGCAGCATGAATTCGATTCCTGTCCAAGGAGCTGACCCACATGGCACAGCAGACCTCTCCTGTCTAGCCCACTGCTCCCCTCAGCAGTGTATTTCAATCAATCTGCCTGTTCTGCTCCCCACTCTGTCTCTTATTAATACTCTCACCCTTCTCCCCCAGCAGTGCTGGCCTATACCCCAGCTCTTGTATGCATAAATAAAATAAATCTTAAAGAAAAAAAGAAAGTAAATGAGTCATCCTGTAAAGAATGCCGCAGATAGATTGATTCAATAGGAATATGATGTAACAAATAAAAGTGTTATTCCTACATAGAAAGGAAAGGAAATCTAAGTCCTGATCACACCCTCTCTGGGCTAACAGTTATGCTTACTTTCTTGGCTTTGCTCTGCTTAAGAAACTCAGATAAAACTTGCGGGCATCTAGCTGTGGCCAGGTGTTATCTCCTCCTATGTCTCAGAGGGAGTAAATGAGTGAAATCCAGAAACTTCCCATCAGAGTGGATGCTCTTACTAGTCTCAAGCCTCAACTCTGGTCCTCATAACCACACTATCAGTGGGGGAGGCTGATACAGCTGCCAGAGAGTAAAAGGACATACAAATATTAGTATAACTAGAACTCAGCTTATGTGGGCCTTTTAGTCACTTCCGTGCTATCCTAAGGGATCTCCCTTCTCCAGTATCTTTCCTTTTTCTTTTCATTCTGTCTTTTACATTGGTTTAACCCATGGTATGATTTGAACATCTTGTTTGGGTTACAGAGCCTTCCTGTTCATGACCTTTGAGTTAGCTGGCTTGATAGTGTGTGTATGCAAAGTTTTAGAGTATTTGGAAAATTACCTTAGAGAAGTTCTAAAACATAGTGAAATAAATAATAGAATGGCTTAATGCCAGGAGGTTTAATTTCAAACCTAGAACTACCATTTTTTAATGTTTGTGGCTTTGGAAGTTAGTTAACTTCTGTATTTCTATTTATTCAAATATTAAAAATGGATTAATAGTTATCTCTAATATCTATCACACCCAGACCTTTGATGCTGAAATGATTTAACAGCTATCACAAGCACATAGTAAATACAAATAACACTATAGGAGTGAATTTCATCTACTGCTAAAAATACTGATTGAACTATAAGTTAAAAGCTTTTTTTTTCATTTATCATGTATTCAGAAAAATGAATTCTTAATTTTTTCCAATGTTTAAGTGGTAAGATTTTACAATAGTTCAGAATATATAAAAAACTCTCATGACACAAGAACATATTTACTTGTTTAACCTTCAAGAAAGCATTTTTTTTTATTACCTATAACTCTGTGAATTTATCTTAATGCAGCTCTGAAAACTTTGGTTAGCTGGTTCAGGAGAGTGAGAACTCCCTGTAAAAGTAACAGAATGACACATTACTTCATGGTATAATTTTTTGGAGATTATTCATTAATATTAATATTAAAACATAAAAAACACTAAAAGGATATAGTATTGATTAAATGCCATATACACATAAGATACATGGATAGGTCTTCGATCTCTCCAGTGATATTTATATTATAGAAATATAGGGGCCTCCCTGGTGGCAGAGGGGTTGGGTCTCAGCACTTTCACTATGATGGCCTGGGTTCGATCCCTGGTCCGGGAGGTGGCTCACATATGGTGGGGAGGACCTCTCCTGTCTCTCCCACTGCTCCCCTTAGCTGTGTATTTCAGTGGGTCCGCCTGTTCTGCTCCTCACTCTGTTACTGATGGATCCTCTCACCCCCTGCTCCTCAAGCCTCTCCCCCAGTTCTTGTATGCATAAATAAATAAAAAAATTATAGTTATATATATATATATATAGTTGTAAGATTATAATGTGAGGTAGCTATATTAGCATAAATGATTGAATTATAGTTAAGCTTCGTCCAAACCAATGGCTCTACAAGAGCATTATATTGACAGACCATAAAAGATACAGAGTTATGTTTAGTCTACATACCTGTCAACTAAATATGGCAAATAATTTGTCTCCCGTATAAGACATGGATTCTCCAAACTGTACTGACAAAAGCCAATAAAACCTTACACAAGACTCAGGGTGGCTGACTAGAGAGATGAGTCAGAACATAATGACTGGTCCATTCTACCTGCCAGTATGAGTCAACTGACAGTCCTTGAGAGCATGATATAGTCAGTTTTCTTTGCAAAGACAATAAAAAAATGAGAGAGAGAGAAATGCAAAGCAAAAACTTTTCCTTTGCAATAAAATATTATATTGGTCTCTTATTTGTTTGCTTTTAATATACCAAGAAGAATAAAAAGCAAACAAATATGTGAGACTCTGGTAAGTTTGAATCATTTAGTGGAGGGAGGCAACAGAATGCAAACATTGTAACATCAGCATAAGCACTGCCTCTGTCAGTCCTTATCAAAGATGGTCAGTTCTTGATATGTGCAGAAGACATTTGAGGCCACTTTCTCCATGGCTATTAAGAGCTACTCTGCAAATGCCTTTGGTCAGTTCTCTTAGAGAGGCCGAAGTCCAGGACATTCTATAAACTGCCTTCCCCAAGAGAAAGACAAAGCATGCATCTTGTCTTCCAAATTGTTAAGTATTTGATACTGTACATTAAAGATGACAAGAAGACCAGCAAACTGTCTTGCTGTATAAAAGCTAGAATGTGTGTCCCCACTTGATTCATGTATTTTTTATACAAAAACTGAGGTACAGGTCAGAAGCACAGGAGGGTGAGAGAATCCACCAGAGACAGAGCAGGGAACAGAACACTCCTGAGGGGAGCAGCGGGTGAGACAGGAGAGATTCACCGTGCCATGTGGGAATCTCCATGGCCTGTGGGGAATCGAACCAGCACTGCAGAGGCTGCGGACAGCTGCATAGCGTGGCGCTCAACCCGCTGCATCACCGGGGAGGCCCCCTGATTCATATATATTTTTAAAGATTTATTTATTTATGCATACAAGAACTGGGGTGTATGCCAGAGTTTCAGGGCAGATGAGAGGAGTCACTAGAGATAGAGTGGGGAGCTAAACAGGCAGATCTACCGAAATACACTGCTGAGAGGAACAGCGGGTGAGACAGGAGAGGTCTGCTGTGCCATGTGGGTAGCTCCCTAGCTGGGGATCAAACTCGTGCTGCAGTGGCTGGCAATAGCTAGATATCACTCTGTCTTTATTTTTTTTTTTTAATAAAGATTTATTTATTTATTTATACAAGCACTGGATACAGTCAGAAGTGCGGGAAGGTGAGAGAATTCACCAGAGCCAGAGTGGGGAACAGAACAGGCAGACTGACAAAGTACACTGCTGAGGGGAACAGGTGGGCGTGGCAGGAGAGGTCTGCGCGCCATGTGGGACCCTCGCCATTGGTCGGGGATCGAACTGGCGCTGCTGAGGCTGCGGGCAGCTTCGCAGTCCAGCTCTCAACCGCCTATGCCACCAGGGAGGCCCCATTTTAAATTTTAACACAGAAGAGATGCTACAGAGTTGGCAATGTAATTGGCAATAGAAATTGTATAGCATTGTAAATATCTGCATATGTTCTGACCAAAACGGTACTTTTCTGGTCTTAGGCTACATACAAAAATGTACACTAGATACACACAAAACTAACTGCTTACATGTCTGAGAAACACACCAACAAGAAAGCATGCTTGGAAGAGTCACCAGTGACAGAACCTACCAAATCGATACTGCACATAAATTGGTCTTCCGTATAAACGAATTCCATTCAGCAAAGCTATGGCATAAGACACGGATTCTGGGTGTTTAAAGCAGACAAATCCAAAAGACTTCGGCTTTCCTTCTCTGTCTTTGCATATAGTCACTTTGGTTAATGGCCCGGCCTATAAGAGACTTAAAAGTTATTTTCTCATAAATCTAAGGATTACTTTACACTCAGATATATCAAGTATATTCACTTTAGACTAAAAAAAAATCTGCTAAGGTAACATAGCTGCTAATAATGTATTTTTATAAGAAAAAATATCACACTTTCTTGGGATTTTCTGGCTCATCAAAAAAACGTCATAATGTTATGGACATGAAATTTTAAACACTAGCACCAACTCTTAAAGCAATTTTGAGAACACTTACATCTAAGATTAAATTACTACTTTGTTTCCATACATATGAGTAATGTATAAGTAAAAAAATAATTGAAAAAAAATCCACTGTTGGTTGAATTATAAAAAAAAGTAACATCATATTGCAGTATATTTTTTCTATCAATAGGATAAAATAATATTGACAAGAGAAACTTAATTTACCTTATATTCTGAGCTAATAATCCCACTTGGGAAATATTCCCAAAGAAAAAATATTTTAGCATGCTTAGTTAGGCCTTTTGAGTAGGTATATTATTTAGAAGAGTGAAAAATTAGAAAGGTTCTAAATATTACAGCTACAGAATATAATACCATAGTATTTTATTAAATGGCGTAAAATAACATAAATTAAAAATATTCAAATTGTATCAATAGTAAGACCTATAATTAGCTTTACGAAGTGACAAAGCATTACAAAGAAACACAGATTGTAAAAAAAAACCTGTCAATTACTACTTCGAAAAATTATATCCACCATTCTAATGACCAAAGAAGGCACTCACAAAGATAAACAACCGAGATTTAATGGCGAAAGGTTCATACTTAATTATTGTACTTTAATGACTGATTGCATTTCTTTATAGAGCTGGATAAATATATTAACAAATTGCTTTTAATCTAAAGAAAATTAATTATCATCTTTAAAATGATGCTATATTTTAGGGTCAAGTTTTTCTCTTAAAATACCCTGGCTTTCCCAGTGACTACTAGCACATTCTCCCTCCTGGTTTCAAGGACTACCTCATCAACAGATTGATTTTTCCTATTCATGCCTCTATCATGGAAACAAGTCTCCTAGTGACCTCTGTGTGATTGTACTTCCAATTGAACACATTTGAAACTGAATTCACTGTTTTCCCCTGAAAATCTCTATTCCAATATTCCTTAGTTAAAACTACAAAAATCTTAAAATGTATTTTCTTAAATCAAAGGGTAATCGGAAACTTGTAAAAGGATAGCATACACTAATAAAGCCAATTTTAGTCAGTGCTTTTTCCACTACTGATGCATATGTGAAATCACAAAGGGATGGAATATATTCAAGTCTTAAATTTTACAAATTCAAAGTATGCTGTATCATTTTTAAAAATAAAAATTTAACAAGAGAACTTTCTTGTAGCAACAATCACATCATTATATTCTTTTTAAACCAGAATGAAGCACGTAACTTTGTAGTCATCAGGATTTGCTAGGTTTTTGACTTTTTAACAAATACCTCACTTTAGCAAATCCTTCCAGAATATAGAAAGACATAGACACAAGGGACTATGGTGATGGTGCACAGGGGAATTGGTGGTGAAAATTCTATGGAGACTACACCTGAAAAAAAAGCAAACATTGTACAGAAGTGAACAATGATGTAAAATATATAATTTATTAATTATCATTAATAAATTATTAAAAACAAATTATTAAAAAAGCAAACACACACAAACAAAGGCAGGACTTCTCAAAAACCAAATAAAAGTCCTCTTCAGTTTCATTCAGTCCTAGAAACTTAGCTCTGCTATTGTCTGATTTGGAACTTGCTCTTATTTTAATAGGCAAAGTCACTCTGTCTTGATTTCTCTTGACATTAGTTTTAGTGGTATTACTAATAGTAATAATGGTACTATTAGTGTTAGGGGGAAAAGGATGTCCCAAAGTCATAAGTCCCTTTAAAGCGCGCGGGTGAGGACCCACAGCCAGGAATCCGTTTAATATCGGGGTTGCTCTATAACATTAGTTGTAGTAACAGCAGGAAATACATAGTAAGTTCCATGTTTAGTTTTAACTATTTTACCAGGATTAGTTAATTTAATCCTCACAACGACATCATATTGTAGATATTATTACTCCCCTTGGACATTTGAGGAAACTTGAAGCATTGAGCTCTTCTTTACTTGCTGACATCAGAGCTCACACTCTATAATAATTCTGCTATAAATGTGTTCTCTCCCATTTGTAGATTACCCTAAATCAAGCTAATAATTTGAAATAGTCCCTTTTAGAAAGACCATAGATTGTCTCTTAATTTGTATGCTTAGCACCTTACTTAATGATTCATAAGTAATTCTGCATCACGGAACGGTTAGAGGAGTGGCTGAACGAAGGTATCTCTTTAGCAAGTGACACCTAGCAGTACCTGACAGGTGAGTGCTCATAGAAGATCCAGTGCCTAAAAGTTTCCAGAAAGTCCTTTTGATATGAAAACAGGGGACTAGTAGGGAATCAAGTGACCGCAGTTCAGATTTGGCTTCTCAAATCTCATTTATGTGCTGGAGCAAAAAACACCTGCCACAGAAAGGGCTTGGGGGAGTTAAGTAATGAATAGGAAACTATTTCAATATCTCATTTCCTGTCATGAGTGGCCTGAGAGTGTCTATTGCCCGAAGGAAGCCGGTGATAGGGCGGTTTTCTTTTGGCTTCAGCACACCCAGGGCCAGCAGCTTCCAAGAAGCCCCTACTCAGGGTTGGGGGTTGGGGGCTGCCCAGCCCAGGACCCCGCAGCGAAGATGGGGGTGGGGCGCACATTGCCACTTCACCAGCCAGTCGCTCACCTGGAGGCAGGTGAGCTAAGGAGGAACTAACTTAAAACCAAGGCGGAGGAGGGGAGGGGGCTCCAGTGATCCAAGTGCGCCCCGCCACTCCGCCGGCCCTTCCCCAACCACTGTACCTGAAGGAACAGCTCGTAAAGGATCTCTTCCCGCACACGGGCCTCGAGATTTCCCACAAACACCGTCCTGTCGGCCTCTTCCTGGTCTGGGAACATCCCTCCGGTCTCCTCTCGAGGATGGTGGAGGCACCTAGGCCCCGCCCCTTCTCCTGGTTTGGGGGCGCTGAACGGGGGAGGGGGCGGGGCCAGCGGCCAGAGTACAAGCTCCAGGGGCGGGGCGAGGCTGCCGGGCCCCCGCTCGGTGCGGGAATCCCTAGGTGCGCGCCTGCCCCACAGTGGTAGGACTGGAGCCCTAGGAGGGTGAGCAAACCAAAGATTGGGTGCAAGGGCCATCCCTCTCGTGGAGGTGTCCTTCACTTCCACGCCAGTCGCTCAGCTAGGCCTTCCCTCTCGTGGAGGGACATTATTAATTGATTTTGGATGTCGTCAATGTTGTGCCCACGTCGACCAGTGCAGCCCCCAAGGACACAGACAACCGATGCAAGGGCACAAAGGAGTTTAATACGGGCTCGAGACCAGGCCCTCGACACGCACCGATGCAACGGCAGAGGTCGAGAGCCCCGAACAGAGGAAGCTGGGACATCTTATAGGGTCGCGAGTGGCGGGAACTTTGAAAGAAGTTGGCAATTATTCATTGGCTACTACAAAGGCACTTTGGGCGCGCGCGGTTACAGTTTCAAACTGATTGGACGGTTAGAGATGCTGTCCCATTTATGGACAGGACTGCCCTCATTGGCGGCTGGGGTGGTCTGCTTTTTCGTCACCAAGTGGAGTGAGGGTTGTGACTGCTGAAACTATCTCCGGAATGCGGCTGGACAAGGACTAACATATCAAGGTGGAGGATATACAAAATGGCGAAACCTCAGCTAAGCTTGGTTCCACATTTCCCCATTTTTTTTTTTTTTTTTTGAAAAAAAACGGCTAGTCAGTTAAGAAAATAACACAGCTACCAAGCCTTTTATTAGTTAGTCAGTCTCAGAATTATGGTTACGTTTAGTCACATTATGTGTCATTTTGTTGTTCATTCACAGGGTTATAGGTCCAGCAAAAGTTCTCAGCCACAAATGAGAATTACTCTGCTTAAACAAGAGATGTTTCTTTAGTTGTTTTTATCCCTGAAGCCTTCCTAAACTCCTTAGAGGTCCTCTTTTGTACTGTTCCTGAAACTTGCTTAATCACCCTAACTCGCCCTATGTCTCATTCCTCCCTTTTTGGGAATGGAGCCCCTAACTGCAGTCAGGGAAAAGGGGCGTCGTTCTGATCAGTAACTGCTTCCTGCTGAAAGTGGGCGATGAGGGGAAACAGTCAGGGCTCCACTCCTATGTATTGGGAGGGGTCCTGTTTTAGGGGTTGTTGGGGAGAGTTATATTGGCGTAAGGGGGCATATTGGGAGCGCAGCACCATTAACTGGACCGTGTTTACCCGTTGTTTAATAAAGGCCACGAGTCGATTAATGACACAGGGCCCGATAGACAGAATTAAGAAGAGGGTAACGACTGGGCCCAGAAGAGGCAAGAGATAGGGCAGCCATCCTCCTAAGCCTTCCCAAAGAAATGCATTGTTGTCTTCTAGCTTTTTTCTCCGGTGTTCTAGTTCCTCTTGTAATTGCTTAATTTTATTTCTAACTATTCCTGACTTGTTAGCATAGAAGCAACATTCTTCCCGCAGGTAGAGACAGATGCCTCCTTCCTTTGCTGTGAGAAGATCTAGCCCGCGGCGGTTTTGCAGGACCACCGCGGCCAAAGAGTCTAACTGAGACTGTAACTCTAAGGTTGTATCTGCTAGCCGCCCAATGTCCCCCACCAGCTGAGCTGAAATTTTTTGGTAAAGGTTAACAGAGGTCCCAATTCCAGCAACTCCGGTCCCCACTCCGGCTGCCACCCCCAGGCCGAGCAGTAGTGGGGTAATTATGGCCCGCTTATGTCCGGCAGGCACAGACTGGATGAGCTGTATGGGAAGGCTTTGGTTGCCTGGGACCACTCCCACATCGGGCATGAGATATGTTAAAATGCACAAGCCCGACCAGTTAGCAGGGAGTACGGGGTAGGCTGTGGTGCCACAGAAGAAAATAGTGCCCAGTGCCGGCGGGCACATAGAGGCAGAGCCATTAAAACTGGGCGCCTTAGTTGCACTGACTACTGAACTGCAGAGTACCTTATTTACTTGACCCACTCTTAAGGTCCCATTGTGACTAAGGCATGGCATCTGAGCAACTGTTGGGGAGAGCTTGACATTATTGATGGGCAAGGTCTGGTTACACGTATGGGTTGGGCCCTTTAGGTTTGTCCAATTAATCCAGTTGTACACAGCAGGGATCGCTGTGTAACGGGGGGGTCCTTCTCTTAGACATAACCAGCAATCGCTGGCCAGGGTTGGGTTGGTCTTGTTTAAAAATTGTAGGGCTGAGTCTAACATGGCCTGTACTGTCTTTTCCAATTTAAGGGAACCCACCGGGCCTGGGATGTGTATCGGCTTGAACCACCGATCCTGTGTTTGGGCAACTTGTTTAAAAACCCTCTGAACTTCCTGCTTTCGTGCGTGGTCTTGCACACCCCCACCATCTGTCATCCCCCAGTGGGTTTGCAGAGTCCAACAAAAGGGTTTTCCTGCTTTGACAGGGCATACATATCCCGCGTTATTTCCTAAGGATATACCAGTCCAGAAAGTTTGATTGGACTCTGTGCACTGATAAACAGTAGACCTTTCATAGCACTGTGAATGAACAAAGGTATAGGCTGAAAAACTCCCCCCCTCTTTACAGTGATTGCAACTTTCATTTTTAGGCGGCATTTGATTTAAACGCTTCCAACAGACCACCCTTCCCACTGTACCTGGACATCCATGGGTGGTGCCCTTAATCAGGGTCGCCACAAACAGAGGAACTCCCTTAAGGCTGCAAGCACGCTTACTAACATAGCACTTGCTCTGAATATGACCGAATATGCCTTCGGTGATGCACCGTCGGCAGGGATCCCAGTCAGCCCCGACAAGGAGAAAACAAAGGAAGGACAGTAGGTAGCCAACATTACAGTTTGGTGTCATTTTTCACGGCGTGGGCAGTGGTCTGGGAGCGATGGGTTGTAGCCGGGAGCGCCTGAAGAGTCAGCTTGAGTGGATTGGTGGGATGCTTCCGGGCTCGCCACTGCAGCTGGGAGTCGTCAGTTGGTGCCGTCTTGACGTGTGAGTGATGAACCCAGGCCGCGATGCCGTCCACTTTGAGTGCGGTGGGTGTGGTCAGGAGGACGATGTAGGGACCCTTCCACCGGGGCTGGAGGCCACGACCGTCGGTCTTGTGTCGGCGGACAAGGACAAGATCTCCAGGCTGAAATTTGTGGGCTGTCTGAGAAGGTCCTCCCCCTTCATAGAGCGCTCTGAGGCTCTATGATTTATTTATTTATTTATTTATTTATTTATTTATTTATTTATTTATTTATTTATTTATTTGTAAAGTGTATTTATTTATGCATACAAGAGCTGGGGTACAGGCCAGAGATGCTGGGGGTGAGAGGACTCACCAGAGACAGAGTGGGGAATAGAACAGGCAGACTGAAACACAATGCTGAGGGGAGCAGCAGGTGACAGGAGAGGTCTGCTTGGCAATGAGGGTTTCTCCCTGGCCGCCCTGGGATAGAATTCGTGCTGCAGAGGCTGCAGATTGCTTCATGGTGCGGTGCTTCACCTTTGCGCCAGGGAGGCCCGCAACTAACATTTTAAACTGAATTTCTGTAGAAATAATTTAAGATAGTACTTGTGTTACAGAAGTTCCCAGGCTGCAAAAGAGCAACTTCTTTGTTTCCAGACATTAAATAAATAAGTCATTAGGAGTTTTTTGGGGGGAAGACTTTATTTATGTATGCAAGAACTGGGGTGTAGGCCAGAGGTATGGGGGGTGAGAGGATTCACCAGAGACAGTGGGGAGCAGAACAGGTGGATCTACCAAAATACACTGCTAGGCAGGAGAGGTCTGTTGTGCCATGTGGGTTAGCCCTACTTAAGATTCATGCAGCAGTGGTTGGCAATAGTTTGATAGTGCTGAGACTTAATCACTGCACCACCAGGCAGGCCCTAAGTCATTAGGATTTTAAAATTATTTTCTTCATAAAATAATTTTTGAAAGAATGACTGGACACATGCATGGACATGGATCCAATAGAATACTGGAATTAAAGTTTAGGAAGCGCTCCTTAGAGGCCTCTGAAAATAACCACAGAGGTTTTGGTCACAACCAAGAGGCATTTGAACTTAGAAAACAGCTTATACTAAGAAGCAGTGGCAAATTTTGTGGTAGAAGCCAGAATTCTTGAAATATGGCTCCTGGGTCTTTGTGGTAGGATCCAATGTTTGTATTTTATAACAAAGGTGTACTTTATACTGTATTCCAGGGTAAAGAGTTGATTCTTACTTTAGGAAGATTTTGAAAACTAAAAAAGTAATTTTTAAAAAGAAAGAAAAAAACTTACTCCGAATGTCAGCACTTTGGTAAACCAGTTGTCAATGGTGAAGTTCACTTCCTTTCTGAAGATACCATAGTCTACATAGAACCCTGAAATCATCCTGTAAATATACAAGTAATTGGGACACATTTTGGCCATTAGTTTGGGCATGACAATAATTCATTTTGAATTGAGGAGGCATGCTTTTACTTGCTCTGTGAACCAAAAAAAAAATCATCTTTTCTAATGAAAAACAACACATCTTTGCAACCCTGATATCTGATGAATTCTGACATTATTTAATTTTATGACTTTAGTTAGTTTCATTTTTGGAATTCAGGTTCTATTTCCGAAGGAATGAAGTGGACTTAAATAACTACTTTATTTAATAGGTATTTTCTGGGTGATTATAGTTTCCAGGCATTGTCTTTAATTCATGGGAAATAATGGTTAAGTGTGAACATCAGCCTATTAATAAAGCTTATAGCATAATGGGAGCTACAGATTTTCTACACTTATAAATGCAAAATAACGTGCCAGTGACTTCAGTGGTCACCTTTCCTCTGATAGATGGTATCTGTCAGGAGACAGACCTTTCCT